AAGCTGATGTTTAAGTTCCCAGAGCTTTAAGCAAAGATCAGTCAAATCAATACCAGAGTACCAGGAGGTGGTGGAGGAGTCATCAGTCTAATATTCAAAGAGTTTACTGAGAGGTTACTGCTTATTGAAAGGTAGGTGATTGTTCAGTTCAAAGGACAGAAAAGTGCAAATAATTTAATGGATGCCAAAAATCAGTCAGTGATGATATTATTTTAATTTATTTTGATTCATTATCTAACTCAGTCCTGAACAGAAGTGGTGTGAGTCTGTGTCTGTGGCCACAGTATCGGTTAAAGACTCACCCTGGGCTGCCAGTTTTCATACTGCTTCTGCAGGTTGGCCCCGATGGTCTCCAGGGCCTTCTGTGGACTCATCGACAGAGGATCTGGGAAGCAAACACAAGAGTGTAAACACACTGCAATTAACACAGACACGCATACAGACGCACACACGGCAAAGAAAATAGCCATAACTGAGCAAAACCACACAAGTCGATGTAGAACTAACAAACCAGCCATATAATTACTGCTTTAACGTTTAGTGATTAAGAATTCAGCCACGCCACGAGTACAAAGAAAAGTTGTTGAAGTTGTTCGTTTCAGCATCAAAGGGACATTTCTTATTAAATCTGAAGCGGGGTATGGGAAAATAGCAGCAGCCGCTAAGGTTGAAATATTGATGAGAGTAAATCAATATGGCATGAAGAAAAGCAGAATATAGATAAAGGACAGATCAAATTCTGCTCAGCGGGGAAAAAGATGTATTAGTAGGTTTTCAGGGGATAGTGATATGCAGAGAATAAAATCATTACTGTTCTGATCAATGAGGACTATTCACATTAGATCACAACGCCTGCATTATTTTACATTATGTCCAATGTACATAATACATTTACAAATCATATATAATATTTAGTTTAGAAATGACACAAAAATAAGAAAGAATTTGACTATTCAGATTTGAATATTTGAAATGTATTGATCATAAAATCCTTTTCATTCATTTGCACTTTGAATTTGTCTTTAATGACTTAAAATATTAGCAACATGCTAACAGGGGCA